CTGCTCCACTCTACTCTGTTGTTGCGCCAATTAATGACACGCACTGGTTTTTGTTACAATGAATGGTGAACCGACTTTCAAAGCAGACTACTTATCCTGATCCAGTAGAGCATCTTTTACTTGTGTGCTAAACCGTCATCAGCTCCACTTTACCTCTTTGTAAAAAGAGCATTGTCATTTTGTCCTTTCCTACTTCCATTTTTTTCCATTTACTTTCACCTTTGCACACCAAAATATTTTTCAGTACATTCTGATCATCTTTAAACTGTCATAAAAATGCTTAAATTTCACACATGAATTTTCAGAGGACTTTATGTTACTCTCTTTTTTTGACTGACTGTGATTGACAGAACATGATTGTGGATCAAAGTAAATCGTGTTTTGATCAAAGAAACTCTGCAAGTGTTTATAAAAACTTTGATGTATCCCTGTCATAATAAATTCCAATTGATGATGTTTAAAATAAAACATTACCGTTTGTATCAACAGGATTGTTATTTTGACTATTTTTCCACTGGTTTTGTCATTGAAAGCATTAACAAATAATACATTCAAAAATATGACTAAATGCGTGATTTGTGCAGATTAATGCTGCACAAATCACATTTCTTTATGTGACTAGTGTCCTAGAGAAGTGTATTACAAATGGTTTCCCAAGACAAGACCGGTATTTGTGTTTGTTGCCATAATTGCTGTAACACAGTTACCTAAACAAGTAGTAATAAGTAGTTCTTAATGTGACGAATCTAAGTAGATATTTCCCATCACAAAGAAAATTGGTACAATTTTAAAGGCTACATTAAAAAGAATCAAAGAGTAAATTTAACATCATCAGACAATTGTGTTGAAGTAGCCTACATTATTTGCACACAGTAACTGTAAAATATTAAGACATGAAAGAGAAAGAAAAGAGATATTAAAGGTGGGGTGGTGACCACCAGGCTTAACTGGAAGTGGGGGCCCAAATAAAACTTTCCTGGGGGCCTCATATACTCTTACAGCCTCTGTAGCAAACTAAAGTAAATTATAGAAAACAGGTTTTTAAAAAACATGGTATGTTTTACTCCTGTAAGACATTAATTGTGACAATATTATTTTCTCTGAGCCTGTATGTATTATTATAATTCGATTACAAGATTTGAACTTGAATCACAAGGCAAATTACGTTTTTTTTTTTTTTTTTTTCCATTTTTACCTTTGAATACTCCTGCGCCAGTTTGCTGTATTTTGTCTGCATGTCTGTAACATTAGCCATTGTAGCTGGAAACGTATCCGGTCCCAAACACTTGATGCTGGAAGCAGCTGACCCAGGGAGCCGATCAGCTGGTAGCCACAGCCCGAATCCTCACGCTGTCGGAACTGTCAAATGCTAGCAGGCTAGCTCAGATCGGCAACTCCGAAGCTCCTTGTTCCGTTACTCGGAAGAACTGACTTTAGATACATGATGACAGACAGAGGAGATCACAGCGCGTTCATAATCTAACTCAAGTTTATTTTCAAAACCGAGAGTTGCACTGCCTTGCATGTTTTGAATTAGCCCTATTAGCTAGCTAGCTATATAGCAAAACAAATCCATACACCGAGCAAACAGTTTAAACACGCACTATTAATTAAAGAGAGCCACGTTAATCAGGAGAGTCGTTGGGTTAATTTTAACAGCGAGTGTTACCACCGCTGAGATAATGAGACAGTCCTAAATATCCATCCGTTTGGAGGAAGACTCCCATTATCCTGCGAACCCGCAAAATCCTCTTCAAATGAGAACCGATCAGAGACAACAGAACGGAGTCAAAGTGCATGGAACTGGTGGGCCGGTGTCAGCAGAGCGCCATCTGGCGTTCGGAGTGAAGAAAAAACAAATGAACAACTCAAAGGCATTCTTATTCCTGAAACTTTTGTCGCCACAAATTGCAATTAATTTTATTGAGAAATCATGTAATAGACCAACATAAAGCAGAAGTGAAAGGAAAGGATGAAAGGTTAAAACGCATGCTTTTCATTTTTAGGCTATAGAAACAAAACAGAAGCGTTGTCCCTGGCTCAATCCTGATCCCGTGTCATTTGGAGACTAATACTGTCCCACTGTGTTTTGCAAAAAAAAATAAAAAATCTCTAGCAGATTCAGGCAGATTAGATGGTGAGAATCTGTGAGCATCAAATTACACAGATTGGATTTGATAGGTCTGGGTTTATGTTAGGCTGCACAGTGACACAGTCAGTAGCACTGGTTTGAATTCCAGCCTAGTGGTCACTTTCTGTATGAAAGTGACCAGGCTAGTGGTCACTTTCTGTATGAACCACACATGCACCTTTAATGCAGATTAAAGGTGCATGTGTGGTTTCTCTCCAGGCATCCTGGCTTCCTCACAATCCAAGGATGCATCCCAGCTCTTTCCCAATGACTACAGGTGACAGCTCCTCCTGCTACCCAATAAGGATGAGCAGGTAGAAAGTGATGGATGAGTTTATGTTGATGGTCATCTTGCTGGAAGTTGTTGACTATCAACCCATTTCTCAGATGTTTTGCAACCTCTTACAGGTTTTTATGATGCTGCCTCTATTATGTTTCATTTTAGGGTTCAGGCTGATGCACAGCGCTGGTTTGTAGCCACACGTAGCACTTTCCATGTATTCAAAAAATCTCATGAAAGCACTTTCACATTGCTCTGACTATACTGCATCGCTTTTGCCAAACCACAGATGGAACTTCTTATGGCTTTATTTTAAACATTTCTGAGCAGTAAAACGTAGAGAAAAACCAGTCTGTACAGCTTCATACTCTACATGAACAAAGTCTGAACATTCCCTGTATGTACAAGTTTGTTATTTTTGATCCACCTGCTGTTCTGTTGCAATTTATTGAATTGGTTGGTTAATTTTAGTGAGGTTAAATAGACATTAAATAGAATAATGTGGCAAGTAAATTGCATATTTTTGTTTGAATAGCATGCAGATTAAAGGTGCAATATGTTACTTGGTATTTGAAGATAAGTTATTTATTTATAAAATCTGGGAACAGCAGCTGGTGATATACATGAATAATTGAGTCGTTATTCCTGTTAATTTACTCTGAAACAGAGCGTGAGCATGTTGAGCTTTTGGTTCCATTTTTCATTGGAAGAGAAAAGTCCTTCACTTGGTTTTAAAAACACAAATAGCTATGAATAAACAGAAGATTTCAAATGTATATGAACCACTATTTATGAGCTATTTTTGGAGTTAGCTTTTCCCCCTTTTTAAAATAGAAAAACCACTATACCAAGTTTTATAAATAGAGATTCTTCTTGTAATTCAAAAAGGCTTTTAAAATAAATTACCGTTTAAAATAAGAGCAGTGACCTGATTTATTGCTGAATTTCAGTAGCACATGTTCCCAGCAGCTGTAATACAAACAGGACCAGGAATCACAGAGGGTCTGTTTCATGTGAAGGACAGTCGCTGTGGTTTTCACTTCACATTGACCAAATTTAGCCCAGAAGTGAAATGACATGTTGCTAATGCATCCATCTCGTCACAAAAATCCTACACGATTAATTTGTCCTAATCCACTCTAATCTCCTTAGATGTTTCACCACGTAGCGTAACTGTTTCCTTTCTCATCCTTTGCTAAAATGTACACATGCAAAACACAAACTCTCTCTTACACCACAGCCAGTGGCTCTGGCATTGTCTGGTTGCCTGGCAACTGTCGGCGTGGCGTGGTTGCTAGGGCCTGTGTGTGTGTGTGTGTGTGTGTGTGTGTGGGTTGGGGGGGGGGGGGAAGAAACAGGGAGGAAAGGGGGGAATGGGGGGAGAAGGGGGGGATGCTGCAGCTCTGATTTCCTGCTGAATTGAGGCAGTCAGTAGGGAGAAGCCCCCACCCCTCCTCTCGCTCCCTCTTCCAGTCGACACACAGGCCTCTATTGAACAATAGAGCCAGGCCAGAGGGCCCGGGGCTAGTCAGACAAGCCCTTGTTCAGGGTCACACCGTGTTCATCCCGCAGTCCTCCATGACTAATTAACTAACAGAGCAGAGTGTCGTTAGCGCATCTGATGTTGCATCCCTCAGACTTGTAGGGCTTTACGTCGATGTGCGCACGGTGGGTTCCTGGAGGAAAGAGGAAAAAAAAAGGGAAAGTGATGTGCAGTCAAAACAGAGCCGAAGTACTGGACCCGACGGGAAACGCCTGGCAGATGCACCGAAGTAGTGTAACAACCTGCTGATCCTAACCCGCAGCAGTAAGGTGTTATAAACAGGTAGCAGGGTTGATCTGAACATTTTCATATTTTGTCATGTTACAACAAACAAATTTTCTCAGAATTTCATGTCTTGTACTGACACAGTTAAGGTGGAAGAATATAAGCACATAAACAATTAGTATTGAAAACACCAAAACATGCAGAAAAAGTTGCTCTGCTCAGGTCTGGTAATGAAATTAAGTTTTTGGAGCGTTTGCAAAATTCTGTGTGTGCACGAAATCATTGTGAACACACCTTTCTCACTGTAAAACGTGGTGGTAGCAGCATCATGATGCTTCCGTGGGAACAATGATTGTGGGTCAGTTTATGGGAAGATGTATAACATAAGTATAAGTTCATTATGGAATGAAACCTGTTAAAGTGTGAAAAAAACGCTTATGGCTTAGCTTCAATAGAGTGATTCAGATCAAAATCAATTATTGTTTTAGTGTCCCAGAGTTTTTAAACAGTTGAGAATCTAGGCTTAGAAATTGACTGAATTTCTGCTATTTTTGCAGGATTCAAGTTTCACTATGTGCAAAACTGGTAGACATATACACAAAAACAAAAGAACAGAATAAAACACATATTAAAACCACAGTTTGGGTATTTGTCAAGTAAATATAACCTACTTCACAGTTGATTATTTGATGTTAGTCTATTACATACAATCTCAATAAAATACATTGAAGTTTGTTGCTGTTGAGACAAAATACAGAGACACTGAAGATGCTTGATTGCTTTTTTAAAATATGAGAAACAAGAACAAAGAAGCATACAAGTTGTAACAAGAACAGGATTTTATTAATATTTTTGTAATACCATATATAATGCAATTGCATATCTTTGGCGAAAATAAATCTTATAAACATTTTTATCAACAGAGGTTAGCATACAAAAAAACAAAAGGTGTGTCAGTCCGATGGACATGGCAGACAACAGACACAAACTGATACTGGGTTGGCAGCTTTGTCAAATCCAAGAATTAGTACACCCAAAGGAACTGAAACAAATAATAATGATAGAAAAAAAATCACAATCAATATTCAATAACAGCTGATGAGCCATGAAGCAACCAATCATTTAAGTTGAGTGAAAACTTATTTGGCAGCTTTGCAAATGTTGCTTTTAGATCAATTGCAAACGCTACAGAATACGAGATTTTTACTCGACATGTCTGTCCATAATTACTTAGAAATTGTTGTTATAATCAAATGTTAGCCTTACTTCAAACATCAGCTGCCTGGTTGGCTTAAGCATATGTGATCCAGTTTTACAGTGATATTCCCAAACATTCCCAGCAACTCATAAAAGTAATTTTCCCTCTGAGAGTCTAATCTGATTCTGACCACTAATCTTCAATTTCTGACAAAAGTTAAAGACAAACCATTCATGAGAGGATTGTGAAAGTTACTGAATCAACATCAGAGAATTTCTACAGCACAAGGGGAACGAGTCGGCTTTTAATTCAACCTCCCCTGCTGTACATCAGTTTTGGCAACCTAAAAAAAAAAAAACTCCCAGGTTCAACATTAATTCACTGCTTCTATTCAGCTTAATAAAAAAAAAAGCAAAACAAACACAAAAAACTGGCAGTCATGGTTAAACTGAGGAAAAGGAACCCGCTTAAAAGACATTATACATTGGCAAAATATGTAATCACTGTAACAAGAAAAAAGGGTATTGCTGTAAAATAAACAAGGGAAAAAATACTCAGACTTCACAGAGTAAAGAAAAGAAATGTGCTTAAGTCATTTTTTCACATGACCAGTGTTTGATAGAGTATGCATTCAAATATCCCATAAATTAAAGTTATAAATAAGGTGATGACTAACGAACAAATAATTTGTTCTTATTTTCACAGCTAAACAAGACCAGTGTATGCAGGTATGAGTTCTGGGAGCCACAGATTTTACCTCAATTAATGGCTCCAAGTCTAAAGTGGCAAAAAAATGTCTTAATAAAATAAAATAAAATAAAAAAACACAACCAATCTCCCAGATTCCCAGATTCTTAACATTACCACAAAAAAACTCGACTACAATGTGGCAGCGAGGGAATTACAGACACATCTCAATAAGTTAGAATACCACTATAAAGTTTATTTATTTCAATAATTCAACTGAAAAGCTGGATTCATGTTGTGCAGCTTCATGACAGAGGGATGTTCAAACCTTTTTTTTTATCTGTGAACACCAAAATTTAGTTTCTCAGAACATTTAAATATTTCATAATTAAAGACAATTCAATATGTTACACATTCATGGAGCGACTGTTGAGTTGACAGCTGTCCAGCAGACAGTCAGGAAAAACCCACTGCTAGAAATGCTGGCCATTCACAGAGCTCTGCAGCATCCTAGTATGGTGATGGAAAGTTGAGTAAAAGGAGAAACGGTGGCAGAAAGTGGCACATAAGCAACAGCAATAACCACAGACATGGGAGAGTTGTGAAGCCAAGTCGAGCTGAAGACCTCTGGGCTTCACACCTCAGCAAGATTTTAGAGCAGAAAAATGATCATTTATTCAACTGGTTTAATGTAACTTTCTGAGAAACTGAATTCTGGGTTTTCATTATTTGAACAAAAGCAAACATCTAAATATATCACTCTGTGTGAAATTAACCAATAAACATGCTCCACTTTTTGAAATTGAAATTTTAAAATGAACTTTTTGATGATTTTCTAATTTAAGAAGTATCTGTAAAGTGACCATAACCCCCCTTTTTGTTTGAAGTCGTGGCACAAAAAAAAAGTTTGGCAGCAACCACGCACGCTTTACTGACTGTTCCTGTGAACATCCAAGTTTTCAGGTAATGACCATCATTCCTGCCCAGGCCGACATGAATCCTGTGGGTCTGTAGGCGACCTAAAAGCTCCAATACAACAACTTCCCTTCTGAGAGCTGTGTGCAATCAGCTGACACCGGCTTTACAAGCTTTTGCGAAGAGAGAGTGTGCACTTCCTTTTTTTGTTCTAGCGGGAAGAGCAACGACTAAACACTCCCTGCCAGACAGCCCCTGAGGTCAGCATTGCTCTTTAGTAACTCGGGAGTGACTGTAAAGTTGAAGTTTCGCTCTCTCTACGCAGCCTTCCCATTGCTTACAGTCTGCCAGCAGTGGATCTTTAAGCAGAAACTGAAACTCTAAGCTGCAAATTACGTTTGCCTCAGAAGAAAACGAGGTACGAAATCCGCAGAGGGGAATCGGAGCGCTGCGTTTCAGAAGGAGCACGTATTGTTTTACGCTGGCACTCTTGGGATTTCGGCTTTTTTAGAGCCACCATCTTAGGATCAGATTGAAATCAGGGATGCCACAATAAAATTTGTGGATCACAACCTAAGAATCTGGCATTGTGTGGCAGTCAGATGTTCACCAAATATGTGTTCACACGGTAATAATAATTAGCACAGAGAACTGCTGCTAGGTTCTCAACTAAATTTGGCAGTTGCAGAAAAATACTATTTTCACATCCTGAAAAAAGGAGTCATGGTTTGTGCGCAGTAAACGGATCGCATACCAACATCGTAATACTCCTCTCTTCTTTTTCTTAAATGAAAAGCTAAATTCACATGCTCGGCTGAAAGAAAGATGCCGTCACGGAAAAGAAGAGTGAAAAAGTTAAGGTTGTGGATTCATTATTGCATGTTTTTAAGAGAATTCAAAGAGCGAGGGTTGCTTTCCAAATAGTGGCATTACTTTTGTTTTTTTTTGTCATCATGTAGCACAAAGAGGAGAAACTGATAACACCAGGAGGTTAGGTTTTGTCTGTTACAAACATGCACTCATTCGCTTCATAAATAGATTCACTTGGAAGAGGATACAAGTTTGAGGAGGAAGCATGCAACGCTTTGAGTTATAAAAACCTTCAGCTTTTTTTTTTCCCCCATTTTTGTCTTTGAAAGAGAGATTCTTGAATCACAGTCTTCTAAATCTGACAAAAGCAGGCGGGTCGTTCTGGATAGGGGTCTTCTCGATGGTTCTCCACAGTCCGAACGTCCAACCCCCCCAAAGTTACTTTATATGGCTTTGTTCTCCTGTGTGAACGATACTATTGCCATTTGTTAGTTGGACGAGGACGCTCCCAACCAAAAGAGGCTCAAAACGGCCAGTGAACGATCAGGTGAGGAGAAGGAGGCACACTGGGACACACGATCAGGGGACAGGGGTCAGGATTCACAGGGTCCGGAGTCTTGTCAGGGGAAAGAGGAACTTTATTTCCTGTTAAGTTTTGTGCTCTTGACAGTGCGTTTGGACCCCTCTGTACAGCTGCGTATACCGGCGAGGTGTAGCAAAGACCCTGCCGCCTCTTTCAGCTCCTCGTCCAGCTCCGGCTTGACCTCGCGCCGGGGTCGCTTGCTGATGGGCCACTTGATGGCGGGCGGACGTCGAGAAGTCTGCTGGACGGCCCTCTCGTCCCAGAGGTCAGAGTCCTCGTCGCTGTGAAAACCCTCGCTGCCAGCGCGCCGAGACTGGCTGCGCTCGCAGCCGCCTTCGTCCAGAGAGGAGAGGGAGGAAGAGGAGGAGCGGGACGAGCAGCGCTGCAGAGCTGCGCTGCTGTAGTTATGGTCCTGCTTCGGATCACTGCTCACCAGGACAGAGTCGGGTCGGGAGAGGTCCAGCGGGCCGTCGGAGTTACCTGAACAGAGGAGTAAGTGACAGGCTGAATAGACTTCATGGTGACATCCTGGAGAAAAAAAACGTAGGAATCAAACCCAGCCGGGTTTGAATGTGTTATTTATGGTCAGCGTATAAAGCAGATGTCAAGTTTGTCCTGATCCAAAGAGGAAAACTAAGTTGGAAACCATTAATAAACATTGGTTTGTACAAGTTGACATTGTGTGTGCTGATCAACTTCTGACTGGTACTGTAAGCGGACTAAATATCAAAATATTCTTATGAAAGTCACATTTGTCAGATATTTCCAGAGTGAGAACCAGAAACTTGTTTAAACAGATACAGACATATAAAAGCACATAAACCGACCAAAGAAGCAACATAAAAAGAAAGCAATGACAGGGTGGTATGAAAGAGGCAGGAGATCAAAAACCAAAAAGTATGAGTGTGGATTCTCTTACATGGGTCAACGTGGTGCCCAGGGGCAGAGTTTAAGAGCATCATGGCAGTGGCAGCATCAATGTCAGACTCTGGAAGAGGAGAAAACATGCATGATGGTCAATCCTAAGCCATGGAAGCATGGAAGAATGGCAACTCTACTCGGACTGGGATGACTGGGAATCCTTCAGGAATTTCACACATTGAGCAGGGACAGCCCATCAGTGTAAAAAACCCAAGAAGCAAAAAACCCAAAAAAAAAACACCCACCAACAGTGAGGGCGCATCTGATCTTTCCAGACCTGACAACGTGTCTGAAAGCCTCATAGCTCACTTCTGCAGCTCTAAATTATTAATGATTACACTGAGACTGAGTGCTCGACACTGAGCACCAGCAAAACCTCTGCTTGTCGTCAAGGTTACAAATCCAAGAAGCTAAAAAGAAGGGTGAGGGGCTGTAGAGATGGGGTGACGTCGATTGAGAGCTCACAATGTTATGGTGTTCATGAGACATCCATGAGCTCAAAGCAACACATCAAACCAAGAGCTGAAGGGCAAAAAAAGATGCTGAATGTTGGACAAAAATCGTGACAACGCAAACACAAGCACATGCTGAACTCTGGACACAAGTATGGTCATTTGATTTTAACATTTCGGATAAAGCGCCACAAACAGGAATGAAGTTGGGTTCATCCTCACCTTTGAATGAGCAGCCTTGTAGAAAGAGATGGCGAGGAGGTGAGGAGGCACTGCAACACAAAAACAACACACGAGGCTCAGATGTTGTCTGAGGAGCAGCGTTTCAAAACGGCCCACTCTGATACAAACACAGTTGCTTGAACTACTTCTGTCATTTCTGACGCCACTTTCCTGCAACACCACAGTCAATGGCAGTTTACCTGGGCGGGGAGGCGGGTGGCGTGCAGAAGGCATGTGCGGCTGGGAAGTGTTGCTTCTTAAGAGCTTGGATTAGGTTGGGGCGATACTCAGGGTCAACACACCAGAGGGAACCTTTCCCATTGGCCTACAGGACAAAAGAAATGCATCCAGTTGAATCATTCAATGCTATGCAATCCTTGCTAACCTGAAATCTTTCATTCATAAAAAGCTGATTATTGAAAATATTCCCCTAAACCTACTGCTTCAGTGCCTTCCCAAAGTATTCCTAACCCTTCATTTTGCCACCAACACAAAGCACAGTGTATTTTGATTAATCATAATTAATCTTGACTAATTGAAAAATGAAATCATAGCCGGTAATTGATCAATCGTTAACTGGTGTATAGAAGCTTAAAAAGAAAGAACAACACAGTCAGATTAGTAATAAAGCCAAAACTGTACATAAAATATATTCAAGGATTCAAGAGTTACCCTACACTATAGTAAAATATATTGTATTTGAGATTAACAAAATGTTTATCTGTAAATATGTTGAATATCCAGAGCTGTTCTAGTGGCATAGTTTAGCTTCACCTGTTTCAAATTCTGAAAAGAAAAATCTCCAACAAAGCACCTTTTGTTATCCAAGTATTAAGATTAGCCCCGTGCTATTAAAGTTAAGGCAAGCAGACAGATCAGAGGTTTTCACATGTTTTTTGCTGCAGAAGCCTCCTTAGCTACAAATGATCAAGCATTCGGTAAAGGAATGCTGTTACTGCATTTTAAGACAATACAATGTTTACATTCCCATTATAAAAAGAATTTAATTATTTGTTTATCTGCATATTAGGCTTCTGTGGTTAAAATAAAAATCTGCAAAATGTGCCAATTTTCTATGCAATTAATGGATTGCCAGAATAATCAACAGACATAAAGTACAATTAAAAACTTGAGAAGCATGGCCTGCATAACAATAAAATTTTACACATTCTTCTTTGCAAAATAATTTATGAATCCTCAAAACTTTGACTAAGCCATTCTGCCACATTAACATGCTTAGAATTAAACCATTCTATTGTAGTTTGAGGCTGAACGTTAGGAGTTCTGGGCCAGTCCTGGTAGATTTGGATTTGTGCCGGACTATTTTCAGAGGAAGGATCACACAGTTCTCCTGAGACATTTAACGTTTAGGATATAATTTTATAGCCTAAATCTACTTTTGAATTTTTCTACAACTTTATCCATGAGCTGTCTACTGTGTTCCTTTGCCTTCAGGATGTTGTTTGTCCTCTAATGTTTCTTGAAACCTCTGAGGTCTTCACAGAACAGCTGTATTTATACTGAGATTGAATAACACACATATAGGAACCACTTCCAATTTAGTTGACATTTGAAGGCAATTTTGTGTAAAAGATTTCATTTAGAAGTATCAGAAAGACCATACTTTAAAATTGTCATGTATAAAAAGTGTTCATAGTTATACTCTACATTGTGTTGGACTATCTCAAAATCCTGATAAACACACTGAAGTATGCAAGCATATGAAAAATTTTCCATTTTCTTAATGTAGTGAGAAAGTAAAAGTAGTTGGTCAATGACAAACAGATTCAAACAGGAAATGAATTGTGTCAAACTTTTCAATTGTAAGTTCCAATGAAACACATTGAAGAAGAAACAAAACGAACATCGTGCAGCTCTGCATTGAGAGAAATCATCCACTAATCCATTCACAGATGCAAAAATTTAACACCAGTTTTTGAACAAACCAAGCAATAGTTCTCTGAATCTCAAACTGTGGAAACTGTACTAACACCAGCTACGAATTCACCAACAGGAAGCATCAGTGTGACTGTATTGCACCAACAACCAGTGTGATAAGAGGAGCACTGTGTGCCACTTTATCTGATGGCGTATTCTGGGCCCGGTACGGGAGAACAGTGCGAGGGAGGGGAGGAGAATAACCTTGACTCAGATTACCAACCGGCTCTGATGCAGGAAGAAGGAAATGTCTCCATGGCAACGAAAACCACCAGCTAGTGTCATGTGAAACTGGTGCTGGTGTCTCAGCAGACGAAGGACTCACACTGTGCACCTGCATGCTGAGCAGTCTGTGCTGCGCTACGTTGCTACTCACAGAGTCAGAGCAGACGTCTTCACCCAAGGTGGGGAAAACGATCAGGTGTTGGCTAAACACGGCCCTGGCACCCCATGATCAAGCTGCACCCCCTCAGCACCACCCGAGCGGAGATGTGAAAGTTAAACTGCACGCTTTAAATCTTGTCGTGTTAATGACGCATAGTTAGCTGGTGATATCGAGTTAAAGTAGTAAAGGGCAGCTGTAGCCATCCTCCCTCACCAACATTTAAATTAACTGTAATAAAGCAGTCTCTAGATTATAGAACAGCATTGCAGAAACCACATCCGATTATCTGAATGGTGGAGTTTCAATTAAGGCTGAAACAATTAATCGGATTAATCGCGGTGACTCGACTACTGAACTACTGAACTGAAGAAGAAGGCTAAAGAGAGGCTGGTCAGTTCAGCTAGCAGTGTCATTCATCAGTCCATCAGATGACTTCCCTTTTTTTGTTCTTTTATATCATAGATATTTTTGATTATACAAATGTATATACAATTGTTTAAACTGAAATAAAGCTTTCAACCCAGTTACTATTATTGGGGGCTTTATGGGTGTTTACTATGTGTAGTTCAGAGTATTGGTAAAGGATGTGGGAGCATGGAATCGTTTAGGTTTTACTTGATTAAAACCGTCAACTAATTTAGTCATCGTTAACTGGAGTGTACAGATTTTAAAAAGGCCCATTGCTGAAATAATAACACCCTCATAGCAGTAATTAAGCCAAAACTACAAAAATATACATATTTTGAAATTAAGACCAAAAAAAATCTATTTGTCTGTAAATATATTTGACACAGAACTAGTCAAGTAGCAAAGCTTTAGCTTCATCAAATTCAAATTCTGTGAAGAAAAATCTCTTATAAAGCACTTCTTCAGTTAATCCAACTGATCGGCATTATACTGTATCAATGTTAAGTAAAGCAGAAAGGGCTGAACTTTTCACATTTTGATGTCAGATGTATTTTTTTTTAACTGCAAATGAATCCTTTGCTACAAATATATAAAATACAAATATGCTATGTTATATATGCTATGGAATGCTATGTTATTGCAATTTAGTCAAAAAATTTGGGGGTTTTTATTTTTAGAAAATAACGCAATTATTCACATCTTTTAATGTATTTATACTACATTGAAAAGGCTGAAGTGGTTAAATAATTACTCAGCAGAATGTGGTGAGTAATTTTCATCGATTAAATGGATCGATTATCCATTTAATCGTCAGAATAATCAATTGTCGGAGTCCAAGTCTGAATGTTTCAAAGGAAGAATGGGAACCATTCTTCCAATGTTACTCCTCATGTTACATGAGGAGTAACATTGCAACTAGACGTTACAATACAATGTGGATTAACACAAGCCAATCTTTTTCAGTGTTTTATTTTTAAAGAAAAAATTCCTTACAAATTAGAGGGCATCATTTTTACCGTTTTAAATTCGTCGAGCCTGTTTCCAGTTTGCCACAAGCTAAGCAGGACATACAGTAACGTAGCCTACCTTGTTTGCTAGTAAAAGTCCAGACCCATTTCTAATTCAGAATTCGTAGGAAGATTGTTGCTTTAAACACACCAATTTTAGTTTGACTGAGCTTGATGAACATCACAAAGAAGAACAGGCCAAAAATTTAGTCTCTACAAAAGACATGCAAGCAGAAGGTGGTTCAGCAAACTATTGACTCACAGGGGCAGAACACAAACCACACTTTTCAGAACTTTACTTGGAAAACAACTTGAAAAACCACAAATCATTTCCTCTTCTCTTTATAATTACTGCATGCTGTAATCTGTGTTGATCTGTCAACTGAACTGAAGTTGTACAGTAAAAATACAAACAGAAAATAAAAAACAAGGTAATCTATAGTTGATGAAAGATAATGAAATGAAGAAAAATGTGACTTCTTTCTGCTAATTTACAAGACATTAGGCTTGCATTCATAGCATCTCAATGATTCAGTCTTCACTGTGTTTTAAAGTTCTGCAAGTTAAACAACAAGTGTACAAAACCATAAAAAACAGATTTCACCACACAGCCAGGATTATTTCTTTAAAACATGAATTTGGCTTTTCTTTGAAAACCAAGCTGGTGTCCAAAAACATGCACAAACAAAACATATAAACCTTAAAATAAACTGTTCCTTTCATATAGCAGCATGAAGACAAGTTTAATAGCTACGGATGTTTTCCCAGAGTTGCAGTGTTCTATTTCTGGGCTTTAAAACAGGTCCAGTTTCAAAATCTCTTTCATGTTCTCATTTCTTAAATTTTCTCTCCAAAATTTCAAATTTATTTGCCAGAGTAGTTATGGTTATTTTATAATGCAAGAATGCATGTTAAATAACCATCATCAACTTTAACACACAAACATTGCTGTTGCAGCATGTCTTGGTTGCTTCCTTCCCTAAATTTGACATCTAAGAGTTCAACTGCTGGACATTTCCCTCAAACTAAAATAGTTGCACTAACTTGAGGTGCTTCAGGAGATAACATCCTTTATTAGTCTGCCGTGTTTGCATTTCCTCTGTTGGAGTATCTGCAACCTTGACTGGATTCCACTCTTATCGTAACAAAGTCACAGAGGTCCCTGCAGCTGCGTCAAAGCTCAGTACTCTGCCGGTCAGCAGCTTAGTGCTGCAACATACCCCCAGTCTAAGGTGCCGCCCTCCTGATTCAAACAACTATACTCATGATCCCTGGAAGTTTTAAATAAGGTGATCACTAGAATATCCTTGAAATATAATTTGTGGTTTAAGCTAGCGAAAGTCACAAAGATATTTCCTCAAAAAAATTACCAAACTTTTTTATGTTTTGGATCTATAACCATATACACATTTCATTGAAAAAAATATTTATTATTGAGCAGGTAAAACTAAAAACCTCAATGAAGTTTTTTTCATTTTTAATGTATTTATTTTCCACCTGTAGTTTAAATTGCCAATTTTAGGCCCAAGGGCAAAAAGTTTGGACACCTCTGAACGACAAAATCGTGGGGAAAACTGCTGTTTGACAGTTGTCCGGCAAACAGTGACAACATAATGACAAACAGCCTCGAAAAGTTACTGTTGGAAAAGCTGAACACTGTATCAAAGTTAAAGTGATACAAAAGCAACAGTGACAAACGTAGCCTTGGGGAAACAGTGAAGCAAAGCCCATCCAAAGGTTTGAGAGACATTCCAGAGGACTACAGCTGGAATCGGTGATTCAGGAGTGTCCCACACACAGACACTTATAAGTTAGGTGATTTATAAGTGCCTGACTTAAATCACTCTCTTGCTCTACTATGTTTATTAAATTCTAAGTCAGCTCAGACATCTACTTAATCCCTTCTGGTGACAACTTTCAGGGAGATGCTAACTTCCTCTTCCAGCAGGACTTGGCTCCTACCCCCACTGCAAAAAGCGCCAACACTTGCTTTAATGACCTTGGTATCACTCTGAAAGGAACAGCTGGCAAACAAACTCATTTTAAACCCAATAAGCTTGGTACAAATGACACAGCTTCCCAATGTGTCTGTAAAACAAAGCATATTAACAATAATTGTTTTTGTTATTGTTAATTAATCTTGTTTTCTTTAAAATATAATTTTTGTAACGCTTCTGGAACTTTTTTTGTCTGAACCTACCTATCTTGATGCTGCTGTAGCACCCGAATTTCCCTGCCGTGGGACAATTAAAGCTGTCCCTATATCTAAATTTGGTGAAACTTAAAATATTATATATAAATATGATGTGTCAGTTACAGTGTTTGCATTGAATTAACTTTCCAGGCTCCTAAAATCAGAAGGAACACCTTCCTGACCTACCTTCCCCAAACTCTTGTCGACCTTGCGGAAGCATTTATTTAGAGACAAGTTGTGGCGAACGGAGTTCTTCCAGCCTGTGGGAGCGTTGGAGAAGTAAGGGAAGTGCTCCAGAATCCACCCGTAGATTTCTTTAACGGGCAGAGACTTGCTGGGAGACTGCTCGATAGCCATGTAGATGAGGAGGGAAAATGAAAAAGGAGGCTTAGATTTCAGCGAGTCCCGCTCCCGGCCCCTGCTTTGCGACAAAGATGACGAGGACGACGAAGGGCCCTGGTTTTGTTTGTAGTCTCCTTCAATGTCAAAAAGGGGGCTACCACTTGTCTGAGCTTCTGGGCCCCCGAGAGTGAAGTTCTGGAGCAGGTTCTCGTGGAGCCAGTTGAGGTTGGTGAGCTCCTCATCCTCTGCACCTGAAGCGCGATCCACGCTTGTCGCCAATGGACTGGATGCGCACTCCGCCTCGGGCAGGGTCCCCACACCACAGACACCTCTTAGTCCTGTCCGCTCTTCTTGCATACCCGGAATTTCCGTTTTCTTATCTGGTGACATCCCAATGATTGGACCCATTAAATCAAAGAGGTCTGGAGAAACAAGAGAGAGGTTGTTAGAGTTGCAACAATTTGAAAGCAAGAACTCAGACAACGCTTCGCTACACTTTCAAATGAAGCGCCCTTTCAAGCAACGGCCTTGTTTTCTAGAAGCCCATCCCTCGAAACTGTCTCTGCTGCACTTCTTGGATTTCTCCATCTTCCTCATGCCTGGATAGAACGATAAAAGCCTCTCAGCTCCCCCCCACCTCCTCTTGACTCTTATGGAGGACCTTCGAGGACACCATCTCCAGCAACTGAACTGACTTAAGGCTCCACTCCTCAACACCCACCTCATTTCCAGTCAAGATTCAGCTGCTCATTATGTGTAAATGAGCAGGAGACCATCCAGTCACTGCAGGCCTGCATCTTACAGAGTGGATGGCTCTTAAAAACTGCTCAGCATTCAGCGAGGATCAAGTCTCAATTAGTTGCATGCAAGATTAAGTAGCATAAAAAGGCGGCAGGCCTGGGAGACGTCAGCCATTTAACGGCACAAAGAAATTCAACCTTAGCAGTGATTTATCATTAGCAAATCCCACCCAAGTACCCTTACTTAGAGAATGACACTTGAGAATGGCAGAGAAGGAAGCAGGATATGTAAAACAGTAGCAAAGATCACATACAAGCTTTTCATTGGAGAACATCTATAAAAGACTGTAAAGGGGGGAAACTAGTACAAAGACACTGTATTATTGAGGAGCATTGGCATAATTGGTAGCACTGTTGTCTTGCAGCAAGAAGGTCCTGGGTTTGAATCCTCACTTTCTGCAGAGGGTTTGCAGGTTCTCCTTCTGCATGCATCAGCTCTAAATTTTGGCTGTTTGTCCTGTGTATCTGTACATATTCCTGTTATGGACTGGCGAACTGTCCAGGGTCATCTCTAGTCTAATAACTCGTCTTATGACTGCTGGAGACAGGATACCTTGCAACAATACAATGAATCTACTATTGGGTATTTATTCTAAAGATAGATAGAGAATCAATAAAGTGGCATCAACAGCAACACTCGTTTCTGTAGTTGCCACAACTGGGTAGCAACATGTGAAAACAGAATAAGGCGATTTGAGCGCTTGGTTTAGGAAACCATATTTATACAACAGTGAGACATTTTTGTGGCTGATTGAGATTGCCAGAGAGCAAGAGAGAGCTTAACACACAAAGTCATAATAGAGTCAATAATAGTTGCCCAATTTCATCCTTCTAAGGAGACATGATCCACCCACTGTGTCACCTAACATGGCGGGTCAAGAAATCTCAGAGTACAGGACCAAATGATTTAGTTTTTCCTTTAAAATAGTGTGAATCCCAAAGGTACGGCAACTTCTCTCTCCACACCCAGCATGTTGTCGCCTCTGCTCTTAACATAAATAATTAAGGACCACTCACAGCAGTAAGAGTATTTTTGGAATAATGTGTTTTTTCCTTCATTCTTCTTATAGAGAATTCGTAATCAACTAAAATTGATGCTGCAAATTAAACTACAATCTGTATTTGTGCTCAAACATTCTGATCAGTTTATCTCTAGTTGCTAATTTTTTAAAACCATAAACGATGGCTTAGCACACTGCTTAGTGAGGCCAAGAGCATAAAGAGCTCACTCTTTGTCTCGACTCACAACAAGCTTTATGTCCTGGTTGTCACCATGACAACCATGTCATCCCTTCAACACGAGCAGAAATCCCATGAACAAGAGTCAGTGAAAAAATAAGTAATCCACGCTGGCTAACACCAACACAGATGATGACTGTGGCCCTCTCCACCCCCATCCCCCACTTAAACCAGTAGTCAACATCGTCATCCGTTATCGTTCTTCCTGGGGGGGTCTGAGAGGTTGCCGATATGGCCTGAAGTCGGTAAAGGCACACCGTGTGCGGTGGATAGCCATGTCTTTCATTTCTGAGATAGGATAAGAATTGGGTCAAACTCAAGAGTGTGTGTCAGAGACAGGAGAGGGAGTGAGCATACACATAAATCAGTTTGTAAAAGCCAGTCAACGAGGATGAGGGCGAAGGGGAGGCATTAGTGCTTTTACAGAATAACCCATCGACTCTCACTGAGCAGATTTGTTCGACTCAGATTAAGAATCATTTTCTAATCTGGTTTCTTTTGCCTTAAAAGCATGTTGTTTTCATGTCTATATTAATAAAGCATATTGCTTCTTTTACGTTGTTGTCTCTCTAACATGTACCCTCAGTCCATCTTTTTATCCGTTAAGTATTGCACAACAGAATTATACTGTTGCACTGCATTCACTTCTGCAATTTTGCCCTCTAACTAAAAAGAGCCTATTAAGTTCCCAAAGACAAATGGAGAAGCTACTTGAACAAAGGAAGAGAAGACAATAGCAATAGGATTCTACACTGAACTGGAAAAAATTAAGTCCAAAAGACTAAAAACAACAACAAAGAGAACAAGTGGTAGGAAGAAAGGCTGGGTAGGTTTTCCACAGTCTGTGATGAATCACAGCTCTCAGCAAAGTAGAGCAAGCAGATATGTCAGGCAGCATGAGGACTGCCTGTTAGTGTCACAAGAAAATATCTGCTCAACAACACAGATATCCCTCCACAAGACAGCTTCTTCTTTCTGATTTAATTTGCAACCAGTAAAAAGATCTACAAGTCCACAGACTCAAACAAAAATATCATTTGAGCTTCTGAAAACAACTTAGACTACAGATAGAGGTTTTTTGGAGTATCATAATAAACCCCTGATATGAGTCATCTTGCTTGTTTTCTTAAAAAGCACACAGATGACAGGTCTTTGAGCACATATGTAAGGCAGCTACATATATCATATATTTCCATTTATACATCAATGAGAAAGAAAAACAAAGAGAAGGAACAATGTAAAGAACCAGTTCAATTGCTATTACCTAAAAATCTCAAACTGTTTAAGAGTTTCAGTGAAGTTTGAAGGTAAAACTGTGGTAAACATGGGTGGTTTGCCTGTATAAAAGTATAATCAAAGTTTTTAAAAGGTTCACGTTGTTAAACCGCTAAATATGCTTCATCACATCATTCCTATGCTATAAAGTCCTGTGAATAAGAGTAAAGCCTAAATTGATGATCTGTATCCTATGAAGTTTGTCTCAGGAAGCGTCAATCATTAATTGTTTTAGCCCATCACATTTAATATGGAAGATGTTCCTGGTATTTACTGTTTTGGATCTTCTTTCCTTTAAATATTTGTGGATTTAATTTAATCAACCAAATTAAATGTCTCATTAAAATCTATGCACATGTTTGTCCATTTCTGATGTTTTCTTGTTCATCTTCACACAACTGCATTTCCTCTGTCCTTTAACGTTATATAATGTCTGTTTATTTGAGGTTTTTATCACATATTAATACTTGCTTAACTCATTAGCTCTTAGTCATTGTTGTTTCTGTTTTTTCTTGTTTTTGTCTGATGTGTCAACCTCACAGTTTGACAAGTGCTCAATAAATGAGACTGACTGAAAGAATAATTATTTTCCTGTTTAGATATAATAAAAAACATGGAAACATTCGAGGCATAATTTTTATCAAACTACAGTTGGAAATCTGCAGAACCTATTGTTACTATGAAGAGAAAAATTAGAGAAGGGAATATCATTCTGTGCAATAATAACATGAGAATTACTACTAAAGAAGTTTATTCTAGATTTTTGTTTACCTCTAATAATACATAAATGTAACATAAATATAACTCTCCCAATCAATATGTCAGGGTAACTTTGTAGCACAAGGATTCATTACTGCACGTTTAAATAAAATTTGCTTGATAATTTTATACATTTTAGTAACACTTTTACTCAAGACAGTTATGAATTTCATAACAGCCCAAGCTTGCGCTATGTCTTCTGATGATAAGTAGGTCAAATTACAACAGACATCCACACAGGTGCGGCCAAACGAAGACTTGAGTGCCGCCTCGATGGATTAGGAGGCGCAGCCTACAGTCCGCTGTAAACAGCCCACATGGAACTTGTTTCTACGTAAACAGACCGTGACTGGCCGTAAACCTGCATGGCGGAGCTTTATGGGAGAAACGGGCAGTAGAACTATAAAATGAGTGAAGTGATTAGTCTAAAAGCCAGCAGTGGAAATAAAAATATGTAACAGACACAGAAAAAAAACTTTACAAGCCACCATTTGCTTCAAACTAAATAACTTAGGGAAATCTGATGTTTATTTATAATCATTGAGTACATAGAATTGCAATGTAAAGGAAGTGTAACGATTTAAAACGGACGGTTTATTTTTCCAAGCATGTTTGAAGACAAAAACAACCAAACAAATTATGAGTTTGAATGTACACCTTCATTTAATTGTAGTTTTTCTTCATTCAGATTAGTCTCATGAAATACGACAGATTGGAAAAACATAAAAAAGTTTCTTTAAGGAGAAAACTACTTTAAACTGGGAAGAAGATTTTAAAAAGTTGGGAACAAGAAAGATGTATTATTTCTCAACATCAGCAAACTTGCTAGTGATGTTGGAAACAAAAAACACTGATTCATTTCTCTTGTCTAAAACAATTCAATGTGTTTCGTTACATGGTTTTTGACTTTACAGCTACCTGCTTTACACCAGGAATGCAATGCCGCATTACTATTCAGTTCTTCTTCTACCAGTGGCATTGACACCATTGACAACAGTGGCAGACCAGACGCAATGGGTCAGGTGAGGAAACTGACACTGTTTTCCTGTTTGAATTGCAAACCTGCCACTGTAGCTTGTAAGCTGACCAAATTTCCCTGCCCCTTCATGAATTTCCTCCTGTTTGGCCAGGTGCTGGTGCTAGTTTCCACAAGTAAAAGCACACGAAAGCTTTCAGTCAGTCAATTTTACCTACTTGACCTCTTTGCGTGGCTTTTGGGAGTTAGAGAGAGCTTATCCCCTTTGAGTTACCTCTTTCAAATGACTTTCATTTGAATATTACCAGACGGAGGGTGGACAAGCGAGGAAGCTGTCCTGCTGTCTTTGCAAAATACAAGTATTGAAGTATTT